TAAGAGCTTACCTGTAACTGATATCTTGATCAATAGTAAGAGCTTACCTGTAACTGATATCTTGATCAATAGTAAGAGCTTACCTGTAACTGATATCTTGATCAATAGTAAGAGCTTACCTGTAACTGATATCTTGATCAATAGTAAGAGCTTACCTGTAACTGATATCTTGATCAATAGTAAGAGCTTACCTGTAACTGATATCTTGATCAATAGTAAGAGCTTACCTGTAACTGATATCTTGATCAATAGTAAGAGCTTACCTGTAACTGATATCTTGATCAATAGTAAGAGCTTACCTGTAACTGATATCTTGATCAATAGTAAGAGCTTACCTGTAACTGATATCTTGATAAAAAATAAGAGCTTACCTGAAAGTGACATCTTGGTCAATAGTAAGAGCTTACCTGTAACTGACATCTTGGTCAAAAGTAATAGCTTACGATGTTTCTTGTATTTCATGTACCACTCTCCGTTTTACTCGATTTCTCTTGTATTACCACTCTCCGTTTTACTCGATGTTTCTTGTATTACCCCTCTCCGTTTTACTCGATGTTTCTTGTATAACCACTCTCTTGTATTTCATGTACCACTCTCCGTTTTACTCGATTTCTCTTGTATTACCACTCTCCGTTTTACTCGATGTTTCTTGTATAACCACTCTCTTGTATTTCATGTACCACTCTCCGTTTTACTCGATTTCTCTTGTATTACCCCTCTCCGTTTTACTCGATGTTTCTTGTATAACCACACTCCGATTTACTCGATGTCTCTTTTTTTACCTCTCTCCGTTTAACTCGATGTTTCTTGTATACCCACTTTCCGTTTTACTCGATGTTGCTTGTATTACCACTCTCCGTTTTACTCGATGTTTCTTGTATTACCCCTCTCCGTTTTACTCGATTTTTCTTGTATTACCACTCTCCGTTTTACTAGATGTTCCTTGTATTACCACTCTCTGTTTTACTCGATGTCTCTTTTTTTACCACTCTCCGTTTAACTCGATGTTTCTTGTATCACCACTCTCCGTTTTACTCGATGTCTCTTGTTTTACCACTCTCCGTTTAACTCGATGTTTCTTGTATACACACTTTCCGTTTTACTCGATGTTTCTTGTATCACCACTCTCCGTTTTACTCGATGTCTCTTGTTTTACCCCTCTCCGTTTAACTCGATGTTTCTTGTATTCCCACTTTCCGTTTTACTCGATGTTTCTTGTATAACCACTCTCCGATTTACTCGATGTCTCTTTTTTTACCACTCTCCGTTTAACTCGATGTTTCTTGTATACACACTTTCCGTTTTACTCGATGTTTCTTGTATAACCACTCTCCGTTTTACTCGATGTCTCTTTTTTTACCACTCTCCGTTTAACTCGATGTTTCTTGTATTCCCACTTTCCGTTTTACTCGATGTTTCTTGTATAACCACTCTCCGATTTACTCGATGTCTCTTTTTTTACCTCTCTCCGTTTAACTCGATGTTTCTTGTATACACACTTTCCGTTTTACTCGATGTTTCTTGTATAACCACACTCCGTTTTACTCGATGTCTCTTGATTTACCACTCTCCGTTTTACTCGATGTTTCTTGTATAACCACACTCCGATTTACTCGATGTCTCTTTTTTTACCTCTCTCCGTTTAACTCGATGTTTCTTGTATACCCACTTGCCGTTTTTCTCGATGTTTCTTGTAGTCCCAATCTCCGTTTTACTCGATGTTTCTTGTATAACCACTCTCCGATTTACTCGATGTCTCTTTTTTTACCTCTCTCCGTTTAACTCGATGTTTCTTGTATACCCACTTGCCGTTTTTCTCGATGTTTCTTGTAGTCCCAATCTCCGTTTTACTCGATGTTTCTTGTATAACCACTCTCCGTTTTACTCGATGTTTCTTGTTTTACCACTCTCCGTTTAACTCGATGTTTCTTGTTTTACCACTCTCCGTTTAACTCGATGTTTCTTGTATACCCACTTTCCGTTTTACTCGATGTTGCTTGTATTACCACTCTCCGTTTTACTCGATGTCTCTTGTTTTACCCCTCTCCGTTTAACTCGATGTTTCTTGTATTCCCACTTTCCGTTTTACTCGATGTTTCTTGTATAACCACTCTCCGTTTTACTCGATGTCTCTTGATTTACCACTCTCCGTTTTACTCGATGTTTCTTGTTTTACCACTCTCCGTTTTACTCGATGTTTCTTGTATTACCACTCTTTATTGACCTCTGTTTTGTCGTATTACCACTCTTTATTAACCGCTGTTTTGTCGTATTGCTACTTCATGGAACTAGACTTTTTGTTACATTGTCACTCTCCAATTAATACAATCTTTTTGTTTTACTGCCAATCTACTTGATCTTGATGTGTCTGTTTACAGCCAATATCCGTTTATTAGATTGTTTGTTGCATTGCCACCATATTTTTATCGATAACACACACATAGCGTTTCTTTACCCGTGTCCCACTGTCTCGTCCGGTCCCGATTCATGTTACATAACAAAATCGTTTTCATTTTTCGAAGGATTTTGATAAAACTTTTCTAAGATCAAGGCCAGGGTCAGTATTGCTATTTATAGAAAATCGCCAGTGTCATCACTATAGCGACTTCTTTTTATGAATGGATTTGCTTTACAAAAATTGGGAGAGGAGAATACTATGGACGAGTTCGTATGTTAGGATGCCAAGGTCAAAGTCACCATTACTTTTCATAGAAAACTGTCAAACAAGGAAACCAATTATGCATGACAGCGGGACATTTTATGTGTCCCAGACATTTACTAGTCGAGGAAGGATTGGATATTGAGATACTTTGGTTGTGTGTTCCTAAGCCGACATACATACGAACGTCTCGGTTACCAACACGATGCCATATTGAGCTGCTGATGTGAACTAACGTTACTCCATCAGACTAGCAGGGAATTGATTTCAAAATGAGCTGAAAGGCTTGTATCGCCACTGCATGGCCAAGGAAGTTGTCGTAAGTCTGGTCTCGGATTCTGGGCGAAGGAGGAGGTCGTAGGCGAGTAAATTATATGACCAATATTCCTTAAGATCACCGAATGCTCAGCAAGCTATACTATCGGTGCATACAAGTTGAGTACACGTTATCTAACGTACAAACCATATCGACGCGAAAGTCAGATGAACTTTTGTATTTGTGATAAAATATTGTCTCTACATTATCTTGATTTTCATGGCAATTTATAAAGCTATCATGTCTTGTAGTATTAAATTCCTGATTGACGCCGATTTTACGTACATATTTCTGTAAATGACGCCGTTATTACCTACATATTTCTGTAAATGACGCCGTTTTTACGTACATATTTCTGTAAATGACGCCGATTTTACGTACATATTTCTGTAAATGACGCCGGTATTACCCTCATATTTCCGGTACCGATTCGATATTACGAAGACATTTCTATGAATGATGTCGACATTACGTACACAGTTAAATTGTAGTAAGATACCTCATTTCTAAGTGTTGTAAACTAATGTTTCTTCGTGAATGCTTTAAATTGTTTATTTTAAATTTTGAAGTGTTGAGCAGTGTTTAATGTCGTGCGATATTTAGAATCCTTCGCAGTGCACGAGTACGCACGGCATGCCGTTGTTGAATAAACATGTCTGTGTATATTCGGACCATCTGCGGGAGTCTCGCCACTGAGCAGCTGTGGGCAGTGAGGGTGTTGACGGAGAGCCTCGGCCCGGGTCCTGTCTCTCGTACACATTAATACCAATCTGGATAAAATCTGTAAAGTCATATACAGACGTGTAAAGGAAAGATAACACCAATATACAAGTGTTTACTGGAATGAACATCATTAAATTTCGGATGTGTTTCGATGTTATTTTCGTGCTGATTGCGAGTTCGAATATCTACCATATAGTTATATAAAGATACATTAAGCAAAGATACCAACGGGTATTGGTCGTGAGTTTATTCTCATAAATAAATAAATAAATAAGTTGATAAACACTATACAGCACGTGTTGTATACACTTGGATGAAATATGAACTTTGTAATGACTTCCATTTTTCACAGATATAGCTTAGATATACACAAGTGATCATACACACATACATGCTCACACATTTACACGTATACACAGACAGAGAATACACGTATACAGACATCAAACACGTACACCATACACACCATACACACCTACATGCTCACACATTTACACATATACACAGACAGAGAATACACGTATACAGACATCAAACACGTACACCATACACACCTATATGAAAATACACCTACATGGGTGTTCATACACATTCGCACGCAAGTGTATTTACATTCATATGTCTGTACATACAGCTATACACGCGTGTCATACTGGCACATACCTATATTGATTTAACTATTTAAGTGATGTATCTAATGAGGCAGTGCTAAAAACAAAAACTGTTGATACATATGATGTCATATATACCATACATGTCATTTCTGTAAAGCCCATGTATAACCATTTCTAAATAAGTTTATGAAATTTGTATGCAATGTTATAAACCAAATAATCAACAGTCGCCAGTTTTATACCACGACACTCGAGGGTTGGCGATCTGTGTAGTTTTACAAATGACGGGTTAAGCCGCATAGGAATTTACTTCTGTTTGATAATTAATGTGAAAAACCACAAAGCTTCATTTTCAGCAATATCCTCAAGTTTCATTTCATAATACCTCAGTCCTTTTGGTAGTGCTCTATTTTAATCAATTCGTTAAAGTAACCATTTGTTAATTTTTAACGTTCATCATGGCACTACGTCTCGGACGGATGTCCATAGTGAAGAATTTTAGCCAATCAAAGTGACGGGAGTTGTTTATCCAACGGTTAATTATCACTAATGTTACATTGGCGCGAGAGTTATAAAATGGGACATTGTATATGGAAGAAAATTTAACTAAATACTTATTGTTTTACCATGTGTCGACCACTTCCTGATGTTAGGAAATTTACTGATTTTTTTCCTTTTGTCCTTGCAGCAACGTCTGAAGAAGAAGATCGACAGCAGCCAGACTGAGAACCCTCCTCAGGATACGAGCGCGTTCGACTTTGACGACAACGACACCACTACAACAAAAAAGACCGTAAACGCCGGATCTCAGGGCCTCGACGTCTCCGTACATATCGTCCAGCAGATCAGTGGCAACCCACACCCAGACCAAAAAATCCAGACAAATGTGAACGTAAGCACCACAGTCAAAACACATTACTCTTCCAGTGCTCCTCCCGAGCAGGGGAGTGCGCAGGCGTCAACGAACGTCGAGACTAGCACGAGCTTTGAGTGTAAACAGGAACCAGGAGTCGACGATATTCAATGTGGTGGCTCCAATCAGTCGGATTCGAGTCATAATTCGTCGGATATTCTTAACCAAGCTGAGTTAGATGACATTCTGAACACAATCGATAACGGTGATAGTGAGATCAGTGACGAGTTGATTGAGGAACTAAAAAAGTTCGATCAAATTTATTCCAAAGTTTTACAAGAAGACAGTAATGATAGCCAGGACAAGATGTATAACATGACTAGCACTTCTCCGGTGCTACAAAAGGGCCCGGGACCATATCCTGACGCGACCCCTACCGGGTATGACACTAATCAAAACTTGAACCCAGTCAGAACTCCCCCAATGCCACAAAACTTTCGGTCACCTTTGAGTGAAACTGGGCCGGCCGCCGAGACTCTTAAACAAATGGCGGCCCAACACCAAAGTCTGCAGCAAGATGTGTACGGCATGAAGACTATTGATGACACTTTTCCTCAAACAAATACCAATTACCGTCAAAATGGCTACCCACCGAATATTAATCACCAACAGCATTTTTTATCGCAGCAGACCGGGTATCTAGGTCAGCAGCACAGTATGAACAATATGCGCGGACCGGTACCGTACGGTCCGGGAAAGACCGATTTGAGTTTGACGTATGGCGGAACGAAACCCCTTTCACATTACTCAACACCACAGGGTTCATCGCAACCAGCAACACCTTCATCATTACAACAGCTACAGAACCAAGTACAGGCACACTTCGACCAGGGTTCTCAGATGGAGATCACTCAAACGCAACAAATGCAGGTGTCTGACGGACCACATCGCATGCAAATGTCACAGACACAACAACTTCAGATGCGGCAGCCGCACCAGATCGCCATGTCGCAACATCAGTCTTTTTCTATGCCTGGTGGAAACATGACGCCAAACCAATCACAGTACATGAATGAACAAATGAACATGGAAATGGTTGAAAAAATGAGAAAACAGCAACAGCAGCAACAGCAACAGCAGCAACAACAACACCCAACACAGTCTCAACACCCCAATCAACAACAGCAACAACAGCCGCATCCTCCACAACCATCTCGTCCTCAACAGCAACAGCAGCATGCTCAGCAACAACAACGCTCACAGCAGCAACAGCAACAACAACATACGCCACAACCGACAATGATGAACAGACAACAAGCTGCCCAAATGCAGCAGTATATGGGTCGGCCCCCGCCGGAATACAAGATGCAGCAGTCGAGTCAGGGCGCACCCGAGGGCTATACGCCAAACGGTGTGGGCTCAAACCCACTACAGACAATGCAAAATATGGTGAACCAAACGAATACCCTGCAAACGGCAGGGTATGGACAGATCAAATCAGAGAATATGCAAGCTGCAGGGTATGGACAAATCAAAAGTGAAAACGGTTCGGTTCAAATGCATAATGGAATGATGCAAAGTGCACAAATATCAACATTACAGAGAATGAACTCTGCCGGTTCGGCGGTGGGAATGCCAGGCCCCGTTAGTGCGAGTCCGGTGCCGGGTGCTTCTGCGCCCTACACCGGTCAGCCGTCTGTACAGCGTCAACAGTCATACCCGGGAACGCAGATCAGTGCTCAGGAGACGCGACAACAGCGACCAGGGGGTACGACATATACCAGTGCAATAATGCGTAACCAAAGACCGCCAAACGTGAACGTAGGTCCTGATGGCCTCAACATATCTCAGCCTCGCTCCCAGCACGAATGGCCTCGCCAAATGGTACCCGGCTCCCAGGGACCTCGGTTCGCGGGCCCGCCACACCAGGGCGGACCAGGTGCAATGAGTCGACCTCAGATGTCTGCCGCAGGTATGATGCAATACGGCTCCTATTCAAACCAGTGCGGTACAATGAACTCAGTTGCCAGCATGCAAATGCAGAGACAAACGCGACCGATGCAAATGAGTGCGATGCAGTCTCAACAGGCCGCAATGATGCAAGGTAACACTCAGCAAATGATGATGCAACAACAGAATATGCAAATTTCTCAACGGATGAACATTCGAGGGCCTATGCCCGGCGCTTCCGGTACAATGGCGCCATCTATGGACGCTAATGCTGCTGGTTATAACGCCACGGCTGGCGGCACGCACGCGCATCAGGACGATTTTATAAATTTATTAGATAGTGCACAGACCGGTAACTCTGACTTTATCGACGGAATAACGGTACAGAGTTCGGATGGCAATAATGACGCCAATTGGCTCGACGAAATTCTCGGCGCAAAGTGAACGTTTATTGGAGTTTGTGCTGCTAGAAGAATATCATTTACGTAATTTGAGATATGTTAAATCAGGGCCACGTGTGATGTTTTGTTGTCATCGAATACACGTTGTTTCCCCTGGCGTTCGCGGGAAGCTTGCACGTCGAGGGTTACAATATGGTGTGAGTTTTATGCTAAATGTGTATTCGATTGATTACATGCGACAGCTAACTACCTCGACGGGAGAAGTTTGGACATTTATGTGGAACAAGTCATTTTAAGGTCATAGTGTATTTTTTAGTGTGACTTGGGTGTTGCAACAGCGCACCAAAGTAAATTGGACGAAGCATGTTCCATATCCTCACTTGATATGTGTGCTACGTTGTGCTGAATACTAAATTGTATGTCGAGATCTCGCAAAAATATTTTTAATAACAATTGTACATCGTATGTTTAATGTCTTGTTCATCCCCGATCACCTTCACGATGTACAGTGTTTTTATAAGATTATTGCCTAATGTCTCGTTTGTAGGCCTGTAGCCTCCTTTGTACATACAGTGTTAGGACGGATGAAGACGTTTGTTCTATTATAGTATTCATTTCCAAACACGTGGCTCTACAGCTCCGAACTCTGAGTCATGGCAGTGATTATGTTAATGTAGTTTTTCATGACATGGTATTTTCAGGTACATTTAACTCTTTATACCAGTATCAATTTCCTTCTGTGTCGTTAAACCTCCTGATTTACTCTCGCTCAACCTTTTCTATCTTTCTACGTACTTTCCTTCTAGCATTTCCTAAAATTCACAACAATTTTATGGCTCATTTAGCAGTTTATCTTTCTTCCCTCTTCAATATATGTGTTTTCCTACAAATCTCAAAAATCATGACTGTTATCATAGTCTTGCTCTTTAATACTAATTTAGATTACTCTCTCTTCCCTGTCACTTTGCAAGCTCAAATTCAGGCGTGTATGTGCATTTGTGTTTGTGTGAGTGTGATTTATCTAATTAATTATATATGAAAAAATAATCACGCAATGTGTTTCCAAAAATGTGTGACAGTTGGTATTAGAAACATTGTTTGGGTAAAGTGATTTTATTGACAATCTTTGGGTACGTATTTGTTGACTGTGATGGAAGTTGACCATACGTACGGACCAGGAGACGTGGGCTGTGGCCGCCGGGAAACAGGCTATCCTTATTTATGTATCGTGGGGCTGTGACGGTGATCGTACCACTACGATCGTCAAACCTTCACGCCTGGCTGGGCACGTCGGGGGTCTTCCGTGACAACAGTGAATTATTACTCAGCTTCGAGGTGTGCTTCGATGTAGGGACATACACACAAACAACAGAGCCTCTCGCCCGTCTAAAGTCAAGTGATTTCCTACTGCAGGCGTGGTGACGTTTCATCTCCAGACAACTTAAAAATGTAGCTCTTTAATTTTTTATGTTTCAGTGGTATTCTCGTGTTTCGTTTGATTATATATATTTTATACAGTCAACGAGTACAGAAGCGTGTCTGTGTAAAAGGTTAAACGTCTTTCCTGTAACGTCCATGCGTGTTATTCTGTAAATACACGTGTGTGTAATCATGACAATCGAACAATAATAACGGAATGATCACATCGATTTATACCGGAAGGGGTTTATGATTTAACCGGAAGTAGCTCTGCAGTCAACGGGAGAAGTTGTACAATGAAATGCGTTGGCAGTAGAACACACAAACAGGGTTAGACGAGTGATTTTGTTCGGTATTATATTCTCTCTTGGGCTTGTATGGGATGGGTGGCTATAGTTACACTTAATTGACATTGCAAAGTACTAAATTCTCCACTTGCAGTACTAAATCGTTCTAACAAGGTATTACTAATCTAACTGGAGGACATTCATTGGTACAATTTGTGTTACCTTTTGTTCTATTGACTTCAAAATCGAATTAGTGAGCGTGATTTCTGTTCGATTGATATTGATGAGCATAGCAATAGCGTCAGGAGAAATACTTCCACACCTTCCACTGTTAAAACGACCCCAATCAAAGCCCGGCTGTAATCCGTTGATTCCATGGGTAACTGTTAATCAAAGGCTGTTATTTGTCACCTATTTTCGTAAGTTTGTATATTTTTATGTGAATATTTTTCATTATTCAAATAAAAAAGTGATACCTTGCATTTTATAAACCCTTCCCAATTAAGTTGTGTCCTCTCGTGTCGTTAACTTCCTTCCATTGTGATGCCGAGTTCCGCTCTGTAATGGTATGTGAAAGTGTGGGTGTAATGACGGAAGTAATCATTGATACTAGTTGTGTTGGAGTCGAATGACGTCATTATCGATCTTTGCATTTCTATACAAATTTTAGTGAACATGCACAGTTGTTTTAAAAGTTCCATATATGTTCGGCAAAATATTATTTCAAACAAATATTATGTTTTATTTTATAAATGTGATTTAAAATCAACTTGAAAAGAATCTCATTAACAGTAAAAACTAGTTTCCGAGCATTAGGGAAAGTTAAGGAATTTAGCTGTCCTACTATGACCACTCCATGACGACAAGTGTCTACAAAACCATCACGTAAAACCCGCTTTCGGGGCTCACAGTATTACCTATATTTTAATATATACCTACCTATTTTATTTTGATTTTATGTATTCAACTATTTTTTTCTCCATTTCACACAAATCATGTTATACTGTATATATACTTTGTGTGAGCTGTTTGACAAGACAGTTTGCTGTGTATATTTCCTAATGAAATATTATTTCAAACAATGGGGTATTCTTTGACAACATCGGCAACTTATTACTGACCTTAACTAGTTGAAGGTCGCTAACCTTGAAATATATGCAATCGACTATACAGTACTGTTCTCAGGTAGACACCGGTTTACCTGTCGGGCACCTGTTTCATCTATTACACTCTGTATTGATTTCGTATTTACAGATATTTTTTTTGAGTGTTTATTTTACGCGATTTTAGTAAAAATGCAATCTTGAAAAGATATCTAAATTGTTACGAGATAGAGATATAGAAAGTTATCTTACTTTAACAATAAACAAACCCTATCTTGTTGTCAAAGAATTAAACTTTCTTTATCATATCACGAAAATTCTCAAATGTGTGACCTGTTTAAAACAAAATGATTTCTTGTGTTGATTTTGATTTTAACTGTATTTAATTTGTTCATCATTCAGTTTTTAAACAAGCTTGACGTCATTTCCCCCTATTACTGTGTCCATTGTTAAAATGCAATTCATGTTAAACCGTGGGACCAAATAGTATCACGAATCGGAACAAGACATTGTTTTCCTCTCTATCTACCAAAACCTATATGTTACAAGTAATGAAAGAAATGTCCTCATTTCCCACTGTCTCGTCCTCAGTTTAAAAATAACAAATAGTGTTGTACAATTTGACTTTATTTACATCGTCGAAGTGTATAGTAGGGACGATGTAGCTGTTTACAAGCAGGGGTAGCTAAGTGATAACCACAGCAACTGAACGCTGGTAAAATATCTCTGTTTATGTCGCCATCTCCTACAAACGTCAATTTTCTTTCCTCCGTCAAGTCAGGACGATATAATATGTAAACCTTCATTTCATTATACATATTTGTCTCTTTTTACACTAAATGTTAGCGTTTCTTTTGAGAAGATTACATTTGTATAATGGAAGTCCAATCCGAAGTTAAGGTAAAATTATTAATAAGTATTTTCCTGTACTTTGTAGTTTTAAGCGACAGTTTTCCCCAGTAAATTTGGTATTTTACTTTTTTAAACAGAAATTGTCCGAATGACAGAGGGGCCACAATGAAGTTTTTGTTTGTCGTAAACATTTTTTTTAAGGGGATGGCGACACTTATCCCGAGAACAATGGGAGCTAACTCAGAGGAGGGGAGTTAACTCTCTATCAGTCGTATGGTATTCGACAAGGAGACCGACTCTCTCCGAACAATTTCTATCTTCAGTAGATTCATTGTTAGCGGCACGTCATCATTAAGACATATGTAGATATACGATGAATATTGTTATACTTGCTACCATTTTCACAGAATTGAACTACTTAATTTAAAGTTTTGTTATGATTTCATTTTATATTTTTGCCACAATTAACTGAACAAGACGAATTTTCTGTTGTTAACTATTGTATTATAATACTGATGTTGCTATTAAAATTTGATGAAAAAGTTTCTATTAAAAATGAATTTGAAGTTATAAATGTTTTTTGTTATATTGTCTTCTGCCCCAGGATGGGGGTGGTATGAGATTGATACGTGTGCTACCTACGTCAGAATCATCTCTATGTGGTGGCCTCCTGATGAAGGTATGTTTCGGTCATGAAATGATAAAAATGGATATCGGAGCGAGAGCGTCCACAAAACCAAGACGAAATCGCCACTACCAGCTATTACCGTACATGTTAATTATGTCTATGGTAGCCAAGGAAATCGTCATGATGTCTCCTCAAATCCAGAAAATATGTAGGTCACCGACGATCGAAGATGCAGTAAACAAAGTGTTTTAATTCGACGACCACTGAATTTATACAGGAAATAGGGTCGTAGTGACGACAATGAAAATTCTTCAGAATTGAGCTTCTCTGGTAGAAATCCATAGCTTAGTAATTTATAGGTTAAAAACCAGTTATGTCGTTTGTATAAGGAGTTAATTTTTAAGGACTTGTTTCCCATAAGACGCGATATATGGTCATGACGAAGCAAACAGTCAACAACATGGCGATTATCTCGATGGGGTTACATTATTTAGGAGAACAGCAATCTATCGTCTTGCCATATCAGATTATCATCGATGTCCAAGCGATGTCGTTATTAATTACTGCAACTGATACATGTACCATCTTTCTGGCAGAGGTTAATTTGACATATTTACCATTGTTTTGTATGGTATTGTCAGTATGTAACCCTACCAAATTCAGATAACTTTCATATGAGCTATGAATGCCATGGATATGTGATAATTATTGTAACATAGGGCTAATACAATCTTCTCCTACTATAACGGTACAAAATGTTTGAGAGAGAAATATCAACTCGAGGGGTGAGTGTCTTCGTCGTGTAACCCGCGGATTGCTTCATGCCGAGGGCCACTCAATAATCTTACTCGTTTCTTTCTCCTATCATTTCAAAACAATTTTTGAAAATGTTTTCAAATGGACTCTTTATCCTGATTTGCCCATAACGTCTGCCACCGTAAGCTTGTCGTGACGTAACCTACGTGCGAGCCCGTATCACCTCCGTTTCATCGGTCCAGTTTATGCTTTTTATTGACACGACATACCAGCATTAGTAGCCATACTCATAACCTCGGATCACATGTTAATATTTAGTGACATTCAATGCTTCACATTTATTTTGCTTTGTGATAGTAGTCTGGTTTAAACAGATCATCATAATTTGTTCTTGAAAACATCCTTTATTTCTAATGAAAAACTTTCGGTCAAACCAAGCTTAGTACAATGTCATTTGAAACTAATCGATGCACTATGACCACATTATTTCACAGAAGTTGATATAAATCTGAACGAAATTGGCGGACACTTCCTAGCGGAGCTAAAACCAATTAGGAAATGGTGTTTAAATGTTCCAGCTACCTGACATATTCTCAAATTTAATTCAAGGTCACTTTCAAGATATTTTCAATCTCGACAAACGTTTTGAAACCATATTTCGTGGATTTACTGTGTTCGAAAAAATATTCCTTATTTTAATGAACCGAAAAATGTTTCAGTTACAATTAAAGCATACTTTTTCGTACATGTTTTGATACAGTTGCAAATATATCATAAACATTCACTTACCAAGAATTGAACCATTTTTCAAATGAAATGCAAGAGTTGTGGCACATGTCCGAATTATTTTTCTAGAACATTTAAGACTCTCGTTTAAGAAAATCCGAGCATTTATAATCTGGCGGATTCGAGAGCCCCAGCCCTCCTCTTCCCCCCACACCGATATCCCCAGCTATCACATGCCACACATAACTCCCCAGTGACACCGAGTTAAGTTGTCGGATGGCGGGTGCCATTGTTTAACCGCTGATCTAACGTACCGCAGCAAGAGACGTTATACAAAACATCGCCTTTATTGGCGACACATGACAATCGCCCTTTGTCCATTTGGTGGTCATCTCATAATGACCACTGCCAAAGCTGTATCCGGTGGTCAAGAAGCATGGTCGTTTTAAGCAAAACGTATTCTTTTGTTTACAAGTAAAATATACGAATTTGGTCCAGCTATGAAGAGTTTTGTTTGCATTTTTCGCTTGGTGATAGCTACTGTCCCCGATAGCAGGCGATGTTGCCTTGTCCGGCCCTGGCTATACGACGATACATAGACAATTCTTACGTTAAGCTCACGTGTGTAACTGTTTGAGCGAGTTAGACCAATAGGTTTGCAATCAATTTTAAAGGCTTTGTTGTGAAATATTTTAATTTGATAGCGATAAAGGTTTGGGTCCCATCCTATTGAGAGCGGTCGCCTAGGCATCATTTCATTATGTAGGGGACAGTGATTTGCTTACAATTGTATTGTAACCATTTTATTGGCGTTGGACGACCCTTCTTGTCATATAGTGGCAACACTATTGAATGGCGTTGCTCTTTTGTGGTACACAGTCTTCGCCCTGAATGGGAAGGCGCGGGACGAAAGTTGTCGGTCCACAACAGTAACTGTTCAATAGCCCCCCGGTTATGTCTTGTTAACACGCGACCTGTATCCGTTTAAAAACTCATCCAGTCATGAAAACAAGCGCTGGTTTAGGTATGTCCTTGTTATACCATCACAGTCCTCTGGTTACACCTCGCCTACTTTCTTGTCACTGTCCCGCTTTGTCTTAATTCATAGAAACAAGTACAACTCGTAAATACGAGATGCAAACGTATACCCTGGTTGGTGGTTGTACATTTTTGTATTGCAATGATTTCATAATTATGAAAAAATGATAGCACCGATCTTTGTTTCTTTCACCGTTAACTGATATAAATTAAGTTTTTTTTCTGGTACAGAATCAATTATGATCCTCGATGTATAAATATACAAGTTACTGTGAAGCCAAATGATAATACACTGAATATTGAAAATAATTAATCATATTATGTAGTGGTATACAATTAATTACCTAGTAGAAAGGTAAACTCCAGAACTCACGATTGTCGTTCTCCTCTTCTTTACACTAACATTAAACCTACGTCAGACTCGCACGATAAGTTACACTCCATTCAAGTGGTACTTGACACATTCCATGCTTCATGTTGAGTTTGTCTCTTTCCACGTAGCAGCCATATCGACTTTAAAATGCCAACTGAAATCTGTTTAATACTTATATTTAGCATTTGTTAATATATTTAAATGTAATGGAAAATTAAACTTATTTATCGAGGTAAATCGTTTAGCTCAAATAAGGGTATGTGTCATTTATGTTACATTTTTGAAGCCATGGTGACGATGATGTCACCACATGGGTTATGGCATTCACAGCTGCTAAAAGTGCCATTGGAAACCGGTAGGGTTATATAGTGGTAATACCAGATAGGATAAAGTGTACGCTGTCCAGTCATAATTATGTGTATCGCGTACATAACGTGTGCTCATTATGTTTTACAAGGACAGTGTATTGTCAAACTTTATTCAAACACAATTAAATAATTTCCCAGAATACCGTACAGTGTATGGTTTGAATAGATTTGGTGGACACTGATAAGCAATGATACATTCGACGAATTCCGATGAAACATGTGACTCTCCTTATGTGGGCTGTCCTGTGTAGCTAAGCTGTTAAAAGCCCTTGTTTGTAAAACACGTTTTGTGACGGCACCGTCGTACATGTAGGATATCCAGGTCACTTGTGAGCTTGGCAGTCAGGGATTTACAAGCTTACGTCCTGGGCGTATTGGCGGAAGTCAGTCGGGCAGAAATCCTTTAACGGGAAGCTCTATTAGGATCATGATAGCCAATACAACACCAGCGATATTCATAGATTTCTAATTGAAAGTGTTTCCGTGGATGTTAACAATATACAGACCAGTGCACCTCATTGGTGTACACACGCGCTATTTATATATCTGATGTAGTACATGTATCAATACTGATATCTTACTGTGTATACCCCCTGTAGTACCAGTTGTATGATAAATATATACATTCTCAGTGTCAAATGATTGGTATGATTCATGTTCTAATCCTCCCACAACCACTGTAGGTTTCTTCACTCGCGACTCATTTGATAAACCTACTAGGAGTCGGTTAACAATTTTGGTTACTTACGAATGGGTAACACTCTAAATACGATTTCACTTGTCAATTTTCTAATGATGGTATCAAATAACAATGCTTTGCGCCTTCAACTTCCATTGTGACCTCATAGTTGATGTCAATTGTTTTCCCATTTGGAAACAAATTGTCTCAAAACTCGTTACGGTTGATTTTCACGTTTATCAAACTCTCATTAATGAATTTTTCAAATTGTAAAAGACACGAGGTTTTCATAGTATCTTCATACAATTTTAAAATTAACAAACTCGAGTGAGATAAACATCATAAACAACCACTAATCGTTGGGAAACCTCTATATTACCAAACACTTTTTTATTTTAACAACTCTATGAACCTTCTATCGTACCAGTAGTTGATATTTATACAAGGTCTGTTTATGTTGTGATGTATATCATCGGAATCAATTTTTACATGACTCGGACTTTGCACCATTTAATGACACATTTTGTATGTTTATATAAGGTAGCAATATTATACCACGGCGTCAATACGCATCAGAACATAGAGTTGATACAAAATGACCATAACAGAAACTGATGAGTCACACAAAAAGGGGAGACAACAGCAGGAGCCAAAGAGTCACACAAAAAGGGGAGACAGCAACAGGAGCCGATGAGACAAACATCAACAGGATAGGTAACAACAGGAGCCGAGGAGACAAACAACAACAGGATAGACAACAACAGGAGCCGAGGAGGCAAACAACAAAATGGTAGACAACAACGGAAGCCGAGGAGGCAACCAACGAAAATGTAGATAACAACAGGAACAGAGGAAGCAAACAATAGGAGGGACAACAATAGGAGCAGAGGAGGCAAACAAAGGGGAGACAAATACAGGAGCAGAAGATATAAACAACAACAGGATATACAACAACAGGATTGAAGGAGTCACACAAAAGGAGACACAACAACAGGAGCCAAA